TATATATATATACTTATTTAAGGGAGAAGTTAAAAAGAGGTTAGAATGGAAAAAGGTTTTACTTTTTAAGATTTTTTTTTTTGATATATCTGATGATAGATTATATAAGAGAAAATAACATTCTTTTTCTCAAGTCCCTTTCCATCTAAGTCAAGATTCAAATTTGAGATCTTTAATTTGAAATCTCAAACTTTTAACCAATTAAATTACCTCCTTATGGTAGTCGAAGATACTTAATGTTGATTAATTTATATTAAATGAACAAGATGAAGAAGGCTTTGAAGGTAGAGGATGAAAGAGGCCAAAAGGGAGAAAGGATTTGGTTTCTAAGATACTTAATATTGATAAAATTTATATTAAAGTCTTGAGGGAAAAGATGGAGATCAAAAGGTAGCATGTTTAGGTTTTAAAGATAGTTAAATGTAAAAAAATGTTAAGATGAGGAAAAAATGGTAAGATAGATAGCATTTTATATTATACTAAAAAATATTTAATAATTCTATAATCTAAAACAAAAAAAGGGAAAATTTTAGTTTCCAACTAATGCTTAGGGTAGCATTTTATATTAAATAGAGAAAATGCAGGAGGCTTGAAGGTAGAAGATGAAAGAGGCAGAAAGGGAGAAAGAATTTGGTTTTTAAGAAATGTAAGATTCATAAAATTTATCTTAAAGACTTACGGGAGAAGATGAAGGTCAAAAGGTAGAACATTTAGGTTTTAAGGAAAATTAAATGTAGAAAATATTAATCATAATTTAAGAAGGAAAAAATCGTAGGATGATGGAAAAGATAGTTTGATTTTGTGGCGTTAAATTAAACCAAAGCTATTGAATGGAAAACATAAATTCAGTCTATAATTAAACCAAAAAATTCAAAAAATTTAATAAGCATCATCATTTACCATGTACATATAAAAGGACCCTTAATATTCTAATCCATAACACAAGAAGGAATTGTGAGAGAAATTAAGAATATAAATGGCTATTGCTAACAATCATTGCTTGGTCTTTGTCGTCTTGGCGGTTTTTGGAGTCCTAGTTTCCGGCGACCAAGGCTCCCCATATGGGTGTGATGATGGATTAAATTATCAGGCAAATTACATACACTCGTATTGTTCCTATTTTGTGCTGAAACCGGGACCGAAAATTCCTCCATCACAAGAATGTTGCAACATTGTGAAAAACATTAACGTTCCATGTTTTTGCAAGGATGTTATGCCGTATCTTTTGCCAACATTTAAGTGGAAAAACATTGATATGGACAAGATGGTCTATGTAGCTCGTTCTTGCGGCCTTAGTATTCGGCCTGGAGTGAACTGTGGAGGTAAGATTTATTTACCAAGTCTTATATTACATTTTTTCTTGAAAAAAAATTATTTATTACTCCTCTTGTGTGTCTTAAAATATTTGTCATTTCTTAATTGAATTTTATCTGGATGGTGAAATTATACTAAATTAAGATTAAAAAAAAAAAACAAATATTTTAGAACATAATATGTGTTTTTTAAGATATGTCTTTTTTTTTTTTTAATTATTATGATTTCAGGTTATACGTTTCCCCCCTTATGAAAAGTGGCATATATGAAGTATTTATACGCTCTCTATTAGAATAATATGAGCAGGATGTTTAATAAGAAAAGTTGGTCTGTTGTTGATCAATAAAAAAAGAAACATTAGTCAGTTCACCTTACAAAACAATGATGTACTACTTTGTCTGTATTAAATGAATTCTCTATCCATGATAAATGGATTTTTCAAATTATCTAAAAAAAAGAGGATCTCTTTGCTCGAATTTGAAGTTCATTTTTAGGCAAAAACATAGCGTTAACCCTCAAACTTTAATTAATACATATAAGCCCTTAAACTCCAGAATCTGATTAATTTAGCCCTTAATTCCTTAACTACCGTAAGAATAAACGTTAAATTGCCGTAAGAATAAGAGCTAAATTGCTCAAATTGTGGAGTCCAAGGGCTTATATGCATCAATTAAAGTTTGGGAGCTCAATAGCAAATCTAGGATTAGTTTAGGGGCTTAACATATAGTTTTGCCTCATTTTTATCCAATAATTCTCAAAAGGTTAAATCACGATTTTGGTCCTTGAACTTCAAAAATTACCCAAATCATTCATAACAATTTTAAGGTTAAACTCCCAATTTGGTCCCCCAACTATTATATAGATCCATAAGTTGGTTCTTGAACTAAAAAAACTCTGATTTGGTCCCAAAAGTTTCCAAATTTAGCTTCAAGTTGGTTCCCTTGTTATAAAATAACTAACGTGTCCATTATTTAATTATCACATGTCACGTTAGTAATGGGACATGTCAATTGTTTTTTAATGGAAGAACTAATTTGAAACTAAATTTAAACACTTTAAGGACAAAATTAGAAAAAAAAATTTATTCAACAGCAAACTCAAGATCCATACAATAATTAAGGGACTAAGTTGGCAGTTTAACCTAACTTTAACTTTTAGTTACCAACTTGATTCTTATTTCTTACACCAGTTAAACGCGGAGATGAATTGACCAACTCGGTATCTTTTAAAGTTTAAGGACGAACTTTGTCCAAAACTCAAAGTGCAAGCACCAAAATCGTCATTTAACCTTCTCGAAATCAATTATAACAGTTATGGCGTTAAGTTTAACATATACATAAGTACAAAATCGAAGAAGATTTCATTTATCTGGCTGAACACAACAGGAATCCTACAGTTTAGGCAGATATTATCATATATCACGCCAATTTGAAATATAAATGTCTTGCATAAACTCACCTATAACAAAGTAACCCTACCTATCTGTCATCCTATTTTACAATGCTACAACATGTGAAAAACACATTCAAGCTTGAGGGTTTTCTTTTGGAAGCCTTGCTCGTTGTTTGAAACAAGTGTGAGAAGTGGAAGTAAGTGGGATTGAAGAATGGTAACATCTGCTTCTGGTACAATCTAAACACTTCTCTGGTATCGAAGGTTGGATGGAGCCGTTCTGTCAGCTGGTCTCTGTCTAGTCAGATCTGCACTTTTGTGATATGCTCGAGCCTGTATTTCAACTGGAGGGCAAGATGAATCATTTGGATTGTTGTAGATCCCAAGTTTTACAAGGAAGGTGGCAGTGCAACCTTTGTCAAGGCCCTCACTTTCGATCCAAATATGACCATCCATCAGGTTCACAAACCTGATTCAACATTTCAACAAAGTGAATTAAGCTGAGTGTGGTTGATCTCCTAGCTGAATTATGTTTCTAGTCAACCAACATTCTATCAAAGGATGACAGTTTCTTGCTAAAAATTGAGTGCTATTGCCAGTTTCTTGCTAAAAATTGACTGCTATCCAGAATGGCCAAAGATTATTTAAGTTGGAGAATTAAAGGTTTTCTCTCTCTCTTTTTTTTTTTCTTTGGCCAAAACGCTTTCTCATTTTCAGCAAAGAGAAAATGAATTTAAATACCTAGTTTTACCTTTTACAAATGGCAAGTCCAAGTCCAGCACCTTCATTTTTTCTATTAGATCCAGATCGAAGCTGTGTAAATCTAGTAAAGAGACCTGGTATATCTTGTGGAAGCACTCCACAACCAGAATCCTTAACCTGCCAGAACAGAGGTGATAGGTCCAATATCAGAACAGGAAAAGGATGATGTAATCAATTAAGTCCTAGCAACTGCCAAGAACAACTTAAGCAGTGACTTTTTTGTTCATAGAGTTGAATATGCTATATGAGTTTAATCATCAAGGGAAGGAAAGATCAGATCCCTAGGAGCTGGAAACTTAAAGATTCCAAGACAGTCATAAAGTAAACCCCCACAAAATCAAGTGAAATTCAAATGCAGTGGCTATCCTACATGACTCTAGTCATGAAGGAAAAGGAAAAACAGATGCCTTGAGCAGTTGAACCTCAAAGGCTCGAAATCCATTTGCTCTATAAGACTGCAATAGCAGTGAACCACACACACAAGAAACTGAAAGTTAAATACAGTGGTCAATAACCTGCACTCTTAAGTAGAAGTGGCCTTCACTTGACACTGGTGAAAATTCAGCAAGTCGCAAATCTCTTAAAGATTCTGGTTTAGCAACAGAGACTAAGATTGAAACATAACCCTCCTTAGTGAACTTCACAGCATTACCCACAATATTTAGAAGAGTTTGCATAAGCCGTTTCTCATCACCAACAGCGTACACAGGCACATCTGGTGCCGTGAGCAAATTTATAGGTAGCTTCTTTACTGAAGAAATGGGCTTTATGAGATTAATGACCTAAATGATTGACGTGAAGATAAAATGTTAGCACAAAGCTACTGGTGAAAAAGGACAACAAATCACATTCAATTCCTTCATAGACATCAAAGCAGAAAATTACAGAGATGACTACCTCTTTTAAAACAGTGTGAATATTGAATATCCCACTGTCTAATTGTAGGCTGCCATCTTCAAGTCTAGAAAGATCAAGAACATCATTAATAAGGGTTGCCAAAAGGTTGCTACTCTTTAGTACAGTTTCAATCATAATTCTCTGCTCTGGAGTTAGTTCGGTTTCCAGAAGAAGGGAGCAAAGTGCAATAACCGCATGCATTGGTGTTCTCATTTCATGGTTCATTACAGCAAGAAAATCATTGCGTGCATGAATTGCCATCTCTGCCTCTCGTCGAGCCAAGTTTAAAGCAACATTTTGCTCCATGAGCTGATCACGGGCTCGCATAGATTCTTCTAGAATAGCAGCATGTGAAAGAGCAACAGCCACCTACATAAAAATTAGAAATGAACTCAGCATCAAAGCCATGTTGAAAGAATGGTTCTCCAATTTTCTATCAAAAAGGGTAGAAACAATGAAGCATAGGGTACTTTAGAGGAAATGAAGATTCATCTCGCTATATCATAAAGGTGACTATGGTGTGAAGATATCAAAAGGCATACAACAACTATAAAAGAAGCTAATGAAAGGAAGCACAAAAATCATTAGAATACCTGATCAGCTACAACGTCAACAAGTTCCAACTCGTGATCTCGCCATTTTCTGGCACTGTCTGTAGGGAGTATCAGGACCATGATTGCGTAACTTTTTGCTGAGACATCAGGCCAGTCATTGATTTGGAAATTGGAAACATGTAAAAGGGGCACCCGGACAGCAACAACCTCAGGTGGTATAAATCTTCCCACTAGAGGTCTAATCCTAGCCAGAGGACAGGTATAGGGTATACGCATTGCTCGATCACTGCCAAAAACCTCATTAACTATTGGAAGATTTGTTGGCACAGTGGGTCCAACTTGAATTTGGTAGGTGAGAGTATGAGAAAGTTGCAAATTCATGCCACTTCGTGATGGCATCCACAGTGCACATTCCTCCAAACCCAAGGTCCTACCCAATTCAACGAGAGTGGTTTTCAAGATTGTATGGCGGTCCAGCGTGCTTCTAATTTCATGAGTCAGCATCCTAACATGCCTTCCAGTTTCTTCCTGAGTAAGAATGAGTCCCATTTCCCGGTCAAGCTCTTCAGCCCTATTCCTCAGAAACGATTCCCGTGTTTTAACACTCAACAGATCAGGAATAATGTGTACAAGCATCAAAGCAGTTGCACATGATACAATAGCACAAGAAACCTTAGCAATACTCATCACCATGGCAATTGCTCTGGTGTGCATATAAAGTGTCCACAGGTTAATGAAGTGGGTTGCTCCACAAAGAATAATAAAAGCACCAAATTGCATCAGAACCCATCGATAGGGGAAGAAAGGAGATTTCTGAACAAAATAAATCAGCTCAAGAGGGATGGAGAAGTATGCTGCAGCAATTAAAACATCTGAGATATATTGATATTTAACCAGAAGTTCATCTTGCGGCCATTGTGATTCAATGCAATCACAGGATTCCATCATGTAGGAACTGCCTCAGTAAATCTGACAATATTGCAAAAGAGGTATAATGATAAATCAATACCATGTTGCAACATATGACTCCATGAAATAGAAATTGGACTACTCTTGCATAAATTCATTATTCTTCTAGACACAAATACCTCAACAAGATCATCCTTTGCTCATGGAATATGTCTGAATTTATATAAATCAGATTCAAAGTCAATGCACCTCTAAGAATTATACCCATCGCTTCTTTAAAAAAAAAAAAAATTATGGAACATGAGTAAATTCAATTAGATCAATTAAAGTCTACTTCATCCAAGAAAATAAAGACCTCTCAAAGCATCAAATTCATAGCAAATAACACCATTTTACAGAAATCAACTATAAAACTCTTTTTAAAAAAAGCATTAAATTATTTCACACAGTAATTACTAATCACGTAAGCTGAAATCAGATCTAGGAAGTTAAACTCAGCTGGAAAAAATAGAAGAAATGCTATTGATTACCAAACCAAAAAAGGGTCGGAGACTAAGAGATTGGTTACAGAGCTAAGGCTGAGCAGCAGCAGCAACAGCAGCGTCGTCAAGCTGTTCGTCGAAGATGAGCGAAGGGAATAGTTGAACTTGGAAGCATAGAAAAAAGTTTTGAAATTTGCAGAGGAAACGGAATCAGTAAAAAGAGAGATGGAAGAGGGTAGCAAATTGTAATGTGGTGGTGAAGTGAAGGGGGACGAAAAGCATCACGGGGGAAGAAGG